ATACCTAGACACAGGAGAACTATTGTCGTGAAAGTGTTGTACAGTTGATTACGAATTTAGATTGCAGAGAGTTTGTTCTGAGCGCTAAAAGCACTCACGATAGAGCACATTTTGCTTTATTCTAACACTGTGCTTGTTGACCCAACAAAAGCGTAGCCAACAGCAAAGTATAGTATGTTGCAGCATACTCTACAACGTTGAAGAAAAACCCAACTCCCAAGACGAAGGACCAGATACAGCAACCCCCTTACTCCCCAAAACACGTGTGTACAACGACTAAGATGAGGACTGATCCTCCCGTTCTGACCGTCGTACCGCGAAGCACCTAGTCAAACTTTGGACCTGGACGCAGCTGTCAGACACTTGAAGCCGCTCGCCAGCAACCTGGACGTCAGAGAGAATCCTGCAGCCCAATTTGCAATTGAAGGTTAGATGGCGATTTTTCTTTGGCTACCTTGTTCGGTGCCAGCAGCCATTCATCAAGAAGAGGGAGGTGAAAACAGACCAAGATGAGACGTTACAACAGAGTTGCCTAAATGGAAGAAGAGGGGATATAACGTGACTGACTGGACTGCCGAGTCCCGAGCAGATATATTAGAGCGATCGAAGGCCAACGGTCCTCGCCAATCTCAAGCCCAAGATCAATCATCTATCATCTACTCACAGCTGCTTCAGACCCCCGTAAATACACCCCAATAGCAATATCAATCACCGTCTATCATACCCAACAGTAGCTACATCAATGCACTAGTACGCTCTCTCTACGATGAGAGTCAGGAGCCCCACGTTGTCACGTTAAGCTTATACAAGTATCAAGACTCCCAATCTTGACTACAATGTTCCTTCGCTAAACTTTGCCACAATCTCAGCATTCTCAAGACTAAGCATTGCCATTGCATGCGTTGAGATGGTCGGAGTTTCATCCTGTTTACATCCTTCACAACCTAAAATCACTATATTCTGAAAATTACAAGCACTGCAGGTGTTGGCTAGCAAAGGACGGACTGAGTTGAACGCCCAAGTACTACGTATGCGAAGAAGGTAAAGTAGCATGACAGTGGAAAGTTACGTACCAAAGAGGTTGTGAAAGAGGTTGGTAAACGAGCCGCAACTGAGTTGCAGCTCATTCCTTTTTGAAAGACTGCTCTGTATTTGACAGAGCAAAATTGAAGTCTAGGAATAGATAGTGATTAAGATTAGGAAAGCACACAGCTCTTCTACCTGTAACACCCATCATCATTACTATTACGGACTTCTCTGTGCGCAAAAAGAGCTACAGCTACCTCACCACCCAGGCAAGAAGCTACCCAAACCATGAATCCAAGGCGGTCCTCAATGCCTTCAATCCTACCCAAGACCTTCAGTTGCAAGTGTCAGATAATTAACTCCGCAGCTGTAATGAGAGCCTCAACGCTCTAGCTGCCTCTGGAGTAAATCTGAGCTCGAATCTACGTCGGCTATGGATTACCTACAATGGGAACAGGTGCCAGTGATGTTGGGCTTCTACCTGCGGATGAACAGTCTCACCACTTCGTACTAGATTTTATTCTACTGCTATTCTTGCCAGAAGTCAATCAACAATGATCTCCACAAGCAGGTACAAAAAATCTCTCCCGGAAGCCATCTGCGTCAGCTCTCACCAGCTGTCAGGGCGTATAAACCACATACGGACATGTTCTTCATGAACTAGTCACAGATCCAGATATACCTTCAATGTATTTCTTTTGGCTATTTCAGTACGTACTCCAACTGCACTCCTGTCCGCCTTCGATTCCACGAATGTCCGACCTCACTGTCCGACATGTTTGACTGTCCTTTTATTCATTAGAATCCCATTTCACCAACACACTCCTGTTGTTTTGACGACTCCAGTTGCAACAACAAATCCTTTCTTCATTTAATATGTAATGTTTACATACAACCAACGATGGTCATATCAAATCTTCTTGATCTCCTTGAATCAATGCACAAAAGTTGCGGAACTTTTCTCCTTGCAAAGGTTTGGTCCTATAATCCCCCCACATGTCATCTGTCGGCATGTGTTTGATTGTAAGATTTCCTTTCTCAACCTGATCGGTGACAAAGAAGTAACGGATGTTCAATGCACGACTTCTCTTGCCAGCACTTGACCTTCCATTCTTTTTGAGCAGAATAGAGCTCATATTATCTTGATACAAGATATTCTTCTCAATCGGATAACCCTGTTCTTCCATGAACATGCGTGTCCACAACACTTGTGTGATTGCATCCTCTACTCCGATTAGTTCAGCATGCATAGTGCTGCGGCTATTCAGCTTCTATTTCTTTGACATAGCCTGCATAGCTCCACCACCCATGGTCATCACTCCTCCTGTGTGACTCTTGAAGTCAGGGTGAACCGCAAAAGACGCATCGACAAACCACTTCATTACACGAAGGTTGTCAGCGCTCAGCGTGAGATGCCATTTCTTGGTTGAGTGCATGTATCTCATAAGTCTTACGAGTTTATGCCAATCACTCTGATTTGGGTTTTGAACTCGTGACGCCAAAATTGCCACCGTCGGATGCATATCCAGACGCGCACGTTTAGTCAAAAACAAATGTTTCGCAACAATCCTATGAAACTCAGTCTGTTGATCCTTGTCCAAAAGTTTCCCTTTCCCTACCTCCAGCAAATTATTGCCAGCAGGTGTTTCCTGTTTTTCGTCTTCCTTAAACTTAACAGAAAATTTGTCAAGCATTCTTTGGACATAATCGTCCATCCGAATTTTCAACTTCCCTTTCTTTGAATAATCCAATGTCATTCCAAGATAGGTGTGAACTTGTCCCCGTGTACAAGTCACTTCCTTTAGTCCTCCGTATCTCTCATTTATCCATGTAAAGAAATCTTTGAGAACTTATTGTTGCATGTGGCTCGCTAGCACATCATCAAAATGAAATCTGATAGTCAATTGTTTTTCGTTGACCATCATATTTGCAATAAACGGATTGTATACGTTAAACACGAATCCGTATTCTTCCAATGATGCTCTCAGATTTCAATACCATAGCAACAAAGCCTGTAACATCCCATACATAGCACGGAGGATCAAACATAGATCACTCAACGTCCATTTTCGATTACTGCAAAATCCCGATATGTTGGATCTAAGTCAATCATGTAATCAACCAGAAGTCCAGTAATCTTCATTATTACTCAATCTTCTCCTTCGTCCTGCTCGGGCATCAATGTTTGAATAAACGGGTTAGGTATATCCATTGACATGACGTTTCTACCTTCATGGGCATCAATCAGACCTGTGCAGATAATTGCTTCATGCGAAGCTGTAGGACTTGCAGTGTCCTCACGAGACAACCAATCTCGGGTCTCAATAATCATCGCATCCACTGCCTTCTTTCTTTCAGTTGGTTTCAGTTTCTCAATACTGATTGGTGCCCAGCAACTGCGCTTGATCAATTGGTCAAGTTCTTTCATGGCCGCATCTTTACCTCGCTTGCAGCTCAAGTGATGCCAAAGAAACAAAAACTAAACAGCAGAAGCAGTACGGAAGCGGAACTGATTGCTGTTGACGATGTTGTCACGATGATACTATGGACAAAGTTGTTCATGGAGTGGCAAGGGTATCCGATCGAGAAGAATATCTTGTATCAGGATAACAAAAGCGCAAATTCTACTGGAAGAGAATGGTCGCAAGAGCGCGGGCAAAAGAAGTCGAGCTGTCAATATTTGTTATTTCTTTATCACAGATCAAGTTGAGAAAGGAAATGTTAAGATCAAATACTGTCCAACTGACAATATGATTGCGGATTTCATGACTAAGCCAATGCAAGGTGAGAAGTTTTGCAAGTTCAGAGATCTGATTCTTGGTCCACAGGACTAGTCAGACAAGTATGTATATATTCAAAATACAAAACAAAAATTAAACAGTGAATGAGAGCATGTCCCATTGCTGCCAATGGTGATTGTCACAATGGCAGGAGTGTGTTGGGATATGACGAAATATGAGTTTTTACGTTCCAAAAGAAACTATTCAAGTACAAAGTTTTGACACGTACGATCGGACTTTGATCGTGATGTCGGGATTTGACGCAAGTCTGCCGGACAATCTGTATCCACACGAAAAGGGAAAGACCCTATACAAGTGGAATATCGATGTTGTGTACAATGCAGTAGGGAATAATACAAGATGTCCCAAAGTACTGCATTCAACACAGAATTCTCATAGAAGTCAAATCAAGTTCTGTAAACAAGGGATTTTCCAAGGGAAAATCGTTGAACTCACTTTTGTGATTGAATCATCAATTCAAGCCAAACATTAATCAAATAGGAACAATTTCACTCAAAGTATACCTAACACAGGAGAACTATTGTTGTGAAAGTGTTGTACAATTGATTACAAATTTAGATTGCAGAGAGTTTGTTCTGAGCGCTAAAAGCACTCATGATAGAGCACATTTTGCTTTATTCTAACACACAGGACTACCGGTAGGTCAGACAAGTATGTATATGCTCAAAATGAAAATACAAAACAATATAAACAATGGACGAGAGCATGTCCCATTGCTGCCAATGGTGCTTGTCACAATGGCAGGAGTGTGTTGGGATATGACGAAATATGAGTTTTTACGTTCCAAGAAAAACCATTCAAGTACAAAGTTTTGACACCCACGATCCGATTTTAATCGTGATGTCAGCATTTGACGCGAGTCTGCCGGACAATCAATATCCACATGGAAAGGGAATGACCCTATACAAGTGGAATATCGATGTTGTGTACGATGCAGTAGGGAATATTACATACTGTTTGCCACTTTGCACAATGAAAGTTGAGGAACGTAGGCAAAATAGGGTCTCCTTTAACTTCAAAGTTGTGTGGTCTAACAGTTTTGTGCCTCCGCTTATGTGTGAATTCTCTTGGCACAGAATGATGCTATATTAGTTATGAGTTGTGAGCTGTACTTGCAAGGGTTTCGTTACTTTACTCCTTAGTTTTCAGCTCATTCCGTATAAGTCTTCATGTCATGGTGGATACACATTGATGGCAGTTTCTTCATGATTTTGTGATTTGGTTTTCTGGCGTCAGTCATTACTCCTCCACACAAGCAGCTCCAACAATTTACGTAGGCTTTACGACGCTGTCCTATGTGGAATCTTCGCGGGATCATTAAAAAAGCTATCATTTAGCCACAAATTGACAAGGATTTTGCCAAAATTACAGTTTTTTTAATGTACAACAAATCTTGTAGCGCACCCCCGTTTCATTTTGAACGTGTTTTGGTAGGAAGCCTCGTAGAATAGACAGCGCAATTTGTCCTACCAGAAAAGAATCAGGAGAAATCTCCGTGATCTATTTTTATTGGCTCTTCTTCTTATAATTGTGGCCAATGAGAGCGGGGTGTACTGTAGCTACTATTTCATGCTGAGTCAGACCAGATCGATTGCACCACACAAAAACTCGCAACGGAATATACAATGTTTGAAAGCAGAAGCGGAGTGGGACTTATCTTGCTACTGGACTGCTCTAAAACAAATGTGTATTCAATCGGAAAGGAAATTAGTCTGCTGCTCTTTACTGTAACAATTTTTTTTCTATCTGGTTTTATTTCTATTTGGTTTAGTCGTCAACTGAAAGCTAACGGTATCGATAGTATCTACGTCTAGCAGGTCTTGACATCCATGAATGGAAGGCTTTGTCGTTTCTTATCTTCAATTTCTCTGAATGTTGCCAATTTCTTCTTGGACAGCTCCAACTGTTGGGATATGACAAAATATGAGTTTTTACGTTCCAAACGAAACTATTCAAGTACGAGGTTTTCGACACGTGCGATCGGACTTTGATCGTGCGCGATGTCGGGATTCGACGCAAGTATGCCAGACGCAAGTCTGTTGGACAATCTGTATCCACACAAACAGGAAAAGATCCTGTACAAGTGGAATATTGATGTTGTGTACGATGCAGTAGGGAATAATACAAGATGTCCCAAAGTACTGCATTCAACACAGAATTGTCGTAGAAGTCGAATCGAGTTCTGTAAACAAGGGATTTTCCAAGGGAAAATCGTTGAACTCACTTTTGTGCTTGAATCATCAATTCAAGCCAAACATTAATCAAATAGGAACAATTTCACTCAAAGTATACCTAGACACAGGAGAACTATTGTCATGAAAGTGTTGTACAGTCGATTACAAATTTAGATTGCAGAGAG